ATAGCTGCGCTTTGCTTTGTCGTCAGCACTGCAAATCCTTAAAGCTCATTGACGATCTACGTTTTTGGTCTTGGACTTTTGGACTTTATGGACTAGACCTGTCACGATAATAAAATGCGGGCGGGGCTGTTTTTAAAGACTGGATTTGACACACAATATTTTAATTTATTGTTTTTTTACGCTGCTGATAACCTGGACCTGAGTACGGCAAAGGTGGGATCAAGTCGTTGTTTTGTCTTTGAAGTCCGAGTCAAATCCCAAGTCAAATACAGGCAAGTCCAAGTCGAGTCTCGAGTCACTGGCCCCAAGTTCAAGTCAAGTCCAAGTCGTCTGCTTTGAGCTTCAAGTCTTTAGATTTTTTTATATTTATATGACTTATAAGCCAAATTGTACTTAAAAAAGTGATGGTATATTTATATATGAGTATTTATATAAGAGTTGCTCATTTTTCCTTTTTAAATGTCTTTTCAAAATCTTAGTGTGAATCATTACAGTCAGAATAGAAAGAAAAAAGAATAAAGATTTAAAAGTGATTACTATAATTTTGTCGTGTAGTCTGCACTGAAAAGGAGCAATCATGTTCTTTGTAGTTCCCCCTGTTTTACTGCATTGTACTGTATATTACTGCATTGTACTGTATATTACTGCAGTACATTTGAGGTATCATGTCACAGTACTTCAGTTACACCCAAAGTAACAAACAGAAGTGGGAGGGGCATGTTCCAGGTTAAGAAAAGTATTTTCTAAAAACATTTATTAGGAGAAGCATCAAGTCTTCTCAAGTCACTGGCCTCAAGTCTTAAGTCAAGTCCCAAGTCACTGACCTTCAAGTCCAAATCGAGTCCCAAATCTTAGTCTATTTTATCAAGCCAAGTCTCAAGTCCTAAAAATAGTGACTCAAGTCTGACTCAAGTCCAAATCAGGATTTGTAAATCCCAAACTCTGGTGTACGGAGTTTCGTTTCTGTGTAATTTTTTTTTTTTATACTGAAATGACAAATTCTGATTCTGATTCTGAAGCACGATCTACTGCTACAGAGAAATATTGCGATTAATAATATTGAAGTTACTTTATGTCACTGGCAGAAAACAGGATAATCCCAGTGAACCAATTTTTAACATACTGCAACATTATTCCGAAGCTGCAACAGACAAATAGCAAAATGAACCAAAAATTTGCGATAGAAGTTATATATTCTTTCCTCTACAGCTCAAATCCTTTAATACACCAAAACGGCAAATATCTCCCCACTATTGCAAGGAAACTGTAGGATTATCTGGTCCGTCTCCTCAGAACATGTGTAATCTCAGCAAAGGCGCTGTACATGAGCTGACCATTAGGGGCAGTAGTGAGCACAGCCTGACATTAGAAGCTAAACTTTTTAAAAACGATCGCAACCAGCCGCAAAACAACTAAACTCATTTTTCTTGGCTCTTTTCCAACAGACGCTAACTAAAAACTGCCTTGGGTGCCTCCGTGTTTATTTGCTGATCCTGTCAGTTTTTGGTCAGCGCTCAAACTGACTTTTAGCGCCCTCTGGTGGTTGTTTATCGACTTATTGTTCAATACATGACAGCTGGAACAATAATTTTTAAGGGTCAATATTTATTCGTAGTTTTTCCTTGTACTAGTTGGAAAAACGTGGGTTATTTTTCTGCACTGTGACGAGATTTGTGTTTTAAAACAGCTGAATTATGAACTTCTCGGTTGTTATAGGCACAAATAAAAGTGTTAGATTTCATTATTTGCTTATATATTTATTGTTTATTTAATGCAGCTCGTATTTTTAGCTGTAATATGCATTTAGAATATGTTTTTGGAGCTAAAACCAAACCATAAAGCAGAATTATTATTACCGTTTATATTTTCTTTAGTAATTCTGATTCAAAATCTGTTATCGTGACAGGTCTACATGAAGGAGTATATTTTTGCAACTAAAATCTAAAATCAAGTTCGGAGTTATCCCGGCGTTTATTCTATGTTTGCTCCATTCCACATGCATTCATTCATACTTTTGATGCCTTCAGGTGAGAATCTATAACGTAAATAATTATAGTATGGGAAAAAATCAGGAGAAGTGTATTTTCAAGGTGAGTGAGTGAGTTAATGACGCAAAACTGATTCAGCGAAGCATCGGGCAAGAACCAAGGAGCTGGTTTCCACGGTAATAGATGGAGGATGGCTTTAGAAAACGTGGCAACAAGAGCGCCATTGTTATTGCCAATACTGTACAGGGAAAGTATCTCAAAAGGTATTTAAGTGTTCACGTTTTAGCTTTTGTTCAAATTGTGTAGGGTTTTTGTGATTTTCTCTATTGAGGTCTCCATAGGAAATGTTCTTTCTCTACCTCTAAATAGATTTTTAGAGGTAGAGAACTGTATTTATTAATTTTTTTCAGTATACACACTGATATAAATAATGTTTTAATATCAATTCAAATCAGGATATTGCGATAAAATCCAAGTATCATTCGTTCATTCATTTTGCAATATAAAACCAAAAATAAGAAAACGAAAAAACAATTTTTTTCTTTATTATTTGTCTCCAAAACCAAAATGAGAAAACAGATAATGATTCGTTTTTTCAGTTTTCCATTTTGTGTTTAAATGAATAATGGAAAAATCGGATAACGGTCGTTTCCCGTTTCTGTGACTTAAACTGCAATGCTGGACTTTTGCGACACATACGGACTGAACCAGGACTGGAATCAGGACTACACCAGGACTAAACCATTTTCAGTCCCATTTTCCGTCCCGGTCTCAGTCCCGGTCTAGACCTGGTTTAGCAAGAGTGCGAGTTTTTAAAAAGGTAATTTTGAGTACTTCAAATACCTGTAACTGAACAAAGATTGATGTGTTTAATGTTATACTGTGGAACATTCCAGATCAAACCACATCCTCTCCATAGAGAAAAGTGCATACTAGTAGTGCACCTTTAGTTTTTCCTCATTAATCTGCAGCGTCTTGCCTCAAGTTCCCAAACCAGTTGAAATAGTTTGAGTACAGAACTGCACACAGCGTCTGGACTGACCTCGGTTGCCGGTGCCGATGACGTCTGGGAGGTGCGTGAAGCGCTCGTTACAGTAGTTTCCCTCACAGCAGCAGAAGAACACCTGTGGGTTCTCCTCCATGGACACACACTCCTGCCTGGAAACAGAAAAACCACAAGAGATAAGGACTATGACGACACATCACAACATTTTATTTGATCTGTGTTATAATGTTTCCTCATTAAAAACACAGCTGGAGTCGTGTTTTGTTTCATTCACACATTTAAACACACAAACCCTGCAGATTTAGGTTGAGCTCTTCTCTCAAACAGAAAACAGCACCACCCTGTGTTCTCATGTGGTAATACAGGACGTGCTCCATTGTGTTTTTAAACTTCATACACCTTCACTAGAATCATTTGGATAATTTTTCCAACAGATAATTTTGAGTGGATTAAATGAGGAAATAGACCTCACACGTTATCTGTAACACTCAGATTGCAGTTTTTCATATTTGCAGCTCCTGCCAATGTGCCATAGTATCTGTGTATTATATTCACTAATGTATAATTCTATTGTAAATGTGTCCAGCTGGTTTTTCGATGTACGAGGGTGCACCACTCTGTCCACAAGCCAGAGGTTACAGGTGACCTGTGCCCAGATTGGCCCACTGCTTTACTGTGACGCATCACTTTGTCAATTTTTAAATAAGTATGTCTAAAAATGTATATTTGCACGGTTGTATCATGTGTCGATGTCATCGTGTGATTTGTACATTTAAATACCTCCAACACAAACCTGTGAATGTTACATTCCCTGATGAAGATGCAAGTTGAAATGGGTGTTTGATATGTAATAAAAATCATAGCAAAGTACATCGGAGAGCCTCAGATCTCCTTTTTCATCCAGTAAGTCATTTGCTCACTTGGGATCTCTGAAGAGCACCTTATCATTACTTTTTCACTTCAGCGGTGATTCAGCGAGCGCTCTAACTATCATCTACTTCTTCGCAGATAATTTTGAGCTTTGGAGATGTGGACAGATTATTCAACCATTTTAGCAATCGTGCATTAACAAAACACAACTCCAGGTAGGGCTGCTCGATTATGGAAGCATTATCAGGATTATTTAAGCCAATATTGAAATCACGATTATTCAAACAATAATTTTTTTAGTTACATGATGCATTTATTCAGCAATTCTCTCTCAAAAAAAAAAGCACTTCATTATTGATAATTTCCCGCAAAACTTTCAAATTGAAAATAAATACTGGCTACAAATATGTACCTTAGAGCAGATTTGTGATGTATAAAACATAAAAGGAATAAAATATACTTTAAACATGAAATAAGGTGTAGAAAAACATAAATGTATCCAAAATATCCAGCTGTTCTACAATCTCTAGATTTAAAAAATAAAATACATATACTGATTTATCATTTCAACTCGATTATATAAGTTTGGAGATCATTTGAAATTGAAACACACATATTGAAATCGCGATCAAAATCCAATTCCTTGCACAGCCTTTACTCCAGGTATGTTTTTTTCGAGGAGGGAACAGCATTCGAACACGGTTTAAAGCTCACAAGAGTCAGTTTTGTATAATATGTGACCTTTAAGTCGTCACAAATGCCAGATCAATACACAGTCAAGATTTTCACATTTCACACATTTCTGCATTGAGTTGTGTGGTCTAAAACACATACAGTAAGTACAAACAAATAACCGTAGATATTAAAATAAAAATGATATAATACTCCACTGAATGTACTGCATACCTAAACCCCCTCGCCCCCCTGTATCCATCTCTCCGCCGCCCGCTCTCTCGTTCAATCACACCCCTCTCTCACTCCATCTCCCTTTCTCTCTCTCGTTCCATGCATCTCTCCCCTCATTCCCCACTCCCCATTCCTCTCCCTCGCTCTTCTGTCCGTATTTTAAAACAGCCATGGGTGCAGCAGCAGCAGCAGCAGCAGCACTGACCGCTCTATATTTACACTCAGCTCAGTTGCACAAGTTCCCGGACACTGTGTTTAAAAAAGACTAAAAATATTACATTATGTCATCTCCAATTATAAATACAGATGGTAAATGCACAGTAGCTACCACAACATACCTTTGCAATGTAATTAAATCTAACGCAAGCGAGCCTAATATAATGCAACGGACCGCTCACGGCCAAAACAAGCAAGAATATTAAATAACGCCTTGGGTAATAGCTACAGTAACATAAGTGGAGCAACTTTCAAACCACATTTAAAGCGCCCATATTACGCTATTTTCTGATCCAAGCCCTACTGTCTAGTTTATTTTTAGCACGTGGAGAAAAAGCAAAGCACTAATTTGTTTTCAAAGCGTTCCTGCTAATAGGATTTGTAACTGTAAGTCAAGTTTAAAGGTCCTATATGACGCAAAATTGACTCTTGTGATCTTTAAACCATGTTATAAATCAAAAACGTACCTGGATTTGTGTTTTGTTTCATTCACATGTTTGAGTAACCCTTTATTATTAGTCTGTCTGCATCTCCAGAGCTCAAAATGCTCTGTTCCACCTTGTGAAGTCATGAATCGGTAGTTTTAAAGTTAACAGCAATACCGTCTCCAACGTCCCCCTAGCTTTAAAGTCCTGGATTGAGCGTCCCATTATCACTCTGGGCGCTCCCTTCTCTTGGGTGGCACATGAGTAACTGCTGTGCCCGGGAGAGGGTGGATGTTCTTGCAGGCCTTTAGTATGTCGTGTACTGAGTTAGAAAATCAGCTTCTGTATCATAATAAAATGAAATGTGAATATAGCGAGACCAAATGTTGGGCCTTGTTTATGTTATGTTGTAACTGAGGTGGTGTGCCTCCCTGGTGGACTATTCTGAGAAATGAATACACATGAGAAATTGACAGACTGTACATAAAGTGTGTGACTCACTTGTGGCCTAATCGTGAGGAACAATTTTACACACGGTATTTACTCTATTATTTACTTTTCTTTATTTTGTGTTTTTGAGACCACTCATTTTTGCATGTTTTGTTTGTACGTGTGAATAAATGTGTTGAGATGCATTCTAACTTGCGTGTGTAATTAATACAATATTTATAATGGATTTTTTTTATTCATATGTATATAGATGAACTAACATAGTTTCATAAAAGGTACAATTCAGGGGGACTTTCCATCTGATTTCCGTTAACAGTAACCTTTAATCTTTAGTGGAGATTGGCATTTCCAGGGCTGAAATTATCCAAATGATTCTAGTGAAGGTGTGTGGAGTTTAAAAACACAGTGGAGCACTTCCTGTATTACCACATGACATCACAAGGTGGAGCAGAGTGTTTTCCGTTTGAGAGAAGAACCTAAATATGCAAAGTTTGTGTCTTTAAACACGTGTGAATGAAACAAAACACAATTCCGGGTATGTTTTTGATAAGGAACCATTATAAAGATCAGAAAATGTCCCTTTAAGCAAAGTCATTTCATCTTCATAAATCACATTGTGTTAAAACGAAGCTCAGATTAAAGTCCAATTTGAGTAACAGACCTTCAGCTAGAGCAGTGCCTCCAGTTAGCAGCACACCCCCAGGAAAAGTTGATGACGTCAGCTGCACAGTATCAATCTCAAACAGAAGCTGACGTTGGTAATGTTGGTTGAAATTACAACATGAATTTTTTTGCCCACACGTTCGGGGTCAATGAACGTAACGTAGCGCAGAATTTGTTTGTCTAATAATGTATTCCTTTCTGCTTGGACACTACCGGCCTGAACTAGATCGCAAAACTGTCAGAACATCACGGAAACTATTCTAAAATTACATATAAGTATAGTGACATTTAAAGGTACAACTCTCCGATACTCTTAGATTAACCTTTGAAAAACTGGTCAAGTTCTTACAGATAAAATGCTGAAAGAGGATTATGAAAAGGCTATACCGGGGATATTCAACGCCCAGCAGGATTACACTTGGACATTGTTCTTCAAGGTCCTGTATTATGTGAAATTGACTCTTGTGAGCAGCTTTACGCCATGTTTAAATGTTGTTACCGCCCCAAAAAACATCAAATGAAACAGAAAACGCACACCAAGGTTCTTGTAGAGGCGCAAATGCAAGGAATAGTAAAATAAAAGTGAAAAAATCCATAGCACACTCTGAAGGCCAATGTCCAAAAGCTTTTTTTTTTTGTATTTTTGAATAACATTTCAGCACAAAAGCCTTCGTCAGATCGTTTTTCTTGCTTTGGACCACAGTACACCTCCCCAAAAACAGACCTGGAGTTGTGTTTGTTTCATTCACACACGTTTGAGTAATCCTTTATTATTAGTCTGTCTACATCTCCAAAGCTCAAAACGCTCTGTTCCACCTTGTGATGTTATGGAGCGATAGATTACAAATTAATCCTGTACATTTTGGCGAGTAAAGACAGAAAGAAAGAATTTTCTGGTCTGAAATCATCCAAATGATTCTAGAGGGGGTGTATGGCTTTGCATGTGCATGACTTTTGTTGTTGTAGTTATTTCTGTTCCATTGTGTAAGAATGTGGATGTCTTACTTGCCCAATCTTTAAAAACAAACAAACATATAAATAAAATATGGAGTTTAAAAACACAGTGAAGCATTTCTAGTATGACCACATGACATCACAAGGTGGAACCGAGTGTTTTGTGAGGGAATAACTCGCAGGATTTGTGCGTTAAACATGTGAGAATAAAACAAAACACAACTCCAGGTATTTTTTGACGAGGAAACAACATTATAAAGAAAAAAACGTATTTATTTTTTGTATTATATCTATGTATTTATATTTTCTATGCCTGTTCTATGCTTTACTGTCCGAACAAACACTCATTCATTCATAACATAGATCAGTAAATAGTGAAATATGAGCCCGTTCAACGTCAATGGATGATGTCATGTCTTAATCTGAATAGGCTTGTGTGGTTGGTGAAAATGCATTTACAATAATAGATTTTGGTGACGTTCTCGGCCTGTTGGTAAGGGAACAAATGAGAAATGTTGTGGAGAAACTGAGATGAGAAATACGGAGAGAATTCTGTACTGTGATTTTTTGTGGTTAGGGTTGTCAAAACAAAGTATCCAGGTAGTACCCATGACTGAGGGATTACGCAGATAAGAAACCACATAGTAAAAATAAAAGAAAGTAGTCTGTGTAATCCCTCAGTCGGCCCAGGTAGGATCCATAGCAAGAAAAATTCGATTCTGTCAACGGGATAAACGCTTTTGATCGTTCCGAGGCTCATACCAAGTTGATTGTTCAGTCGATACAATACATACCTCAATACATACTCCATGATACGATAAATACCTCGATACGTACTCCACGATACGATACATATCTCGATGCAGTGAGCTTACGATTCGATATGATTCAATACGATATATTTTTATTTGTTTCTATACAGTTCAATAAAAAATAAAGCCTAAATCATGGCTGTGATACTAAAAGTCTTTATTTAACCACTTCTTGTGCAAAGTTAACAACAACATCATGAAGCACTCCCATTTTCACTCATCAAAACAGTGAAAATGTCAAATGTGTCGCAAAACTGAGTTTCCTTCCTCTCAACAAGCAACAAAACTATTGCGCTGTAACAAAATCATTTAGTAAAATATACCAAAAAATACTGCAATATATATCGTAACGGCAGCCCACGATATCGATACTGTATCATCACATTTAATTCAGTTCAATTTCAATAGTTTTGCACACCCTTTGAGAACACTGCCTTACATCTGCCTGAAGGGAGGAGAGAACTACACTGAAACTACACTGAAACTACACTGAAACTACACTGAAACTACACTGAAACTAACACACCCAATTGTTTAGTTTCAGTTTGAGCACGATAGTAATGCAAATTTAAAATGCTCTCAAATTGGGTTTATCGAGCTGCAAAGTGTGAATTGTGCAGTTCAATGGACACAATTTGAGAGAATTTTTTAATTAGTATTATTGTAGAGTGACCAAACATCTCTATTTATCCGGGACAGTCCCAGTTTTATGCTCTGTGTCCCCTATCCCAGCAGATTTGTCCAAAAACAGTGATTTGTCCCAGTTTTATACAAGAAATGTCCCAATTGTTCCCATTTTTGACCAATCTGAACCCTTCCAACAGTAAAGAGAGGCATAAATTGTCACTTGTTTTGGTAAAATACAGAAAAGCTGCTTAAAAATGACCAAAACACAAAGAAAATACGACTATACGGACTCACATGTTCGTCATAAATGGGCTGAGTACAGAACAGTTTTCTTTAATTATGCACTCGTTTCACAATTTTAACCAACCACCACCAGTTTTAAATTTTTTATATCTGGTCACCTTACATTATTGTCAACTAAAAACACAACATTTTGCAATAACAACTACTCGTACGTACAGTAATTACACAGGAAGTTTCTAAAGTTAATGCCAGGTTTCCAGTGGCCTTACCTGTCATAGCAGTTGAAGTCATCGAGCCAGCAGCCCTTCTTCACCAGTTTGATGGTCCCTGAGGAGTTGAGCCACGAGGCGTAGCAGTGCAGACGCTTGTCCTTCTCGCCCTCGCACCTCTCGAAGCCGCTCTGATTGGTCCGCTCCGTCCGCCAGTTATCATTGTAGTAGACACACTCCCGCGTCTCCACCTCTCCCAGACTGTAGCCTGCAACGCAAGGCACAGACACGAGAGTTTAGTTTAGAATTTGGATGAAAAAGAAAGTTTAAAAGGTCCAAATTACACTATTTTCTGATCTATGTTATAATGTTGCTTCCTCATCACACCGTTTTTAAACTTTATACACCTTCACTACTATAATTTGGATAATTTCAGCCCTGGATTTGCCAATTTCTACTGAACAAAAACGTTTAAAAAAAAAGGTGTTTGCTAAACTACCACTTTGTGAAAAGAGAAGTTTGAGCTTTGGAGATTTAAATAGCTTTATACATGTGTGAATTAGGGCTGCTTGATTATGGGAAAAAAAAAATCATCTAGGAAAAAAAAACTATTATTTAGGTCAATACTGAAATCACGATTATTCAAACAATATTTTTTTTTGTTACATGATGCATTTATTCATGATTTCTCTCTTAATAAAACACTTTTTTATTGATCACTTATGCAAAGCTTTCAAATTGAAAATAAATATAGGCTACAAATATGAACCTTAGAGCAGTTTTGCGATGAATAAAATGAATAAAATAAACTTTGAAGATGAAATAAGACATAGAAAAACAAACGTTTCCAAAACAAACTATATATCCAGCTCTTCTACAATCTCTATATTTAAAAAATGAAATAAATATACTTATTTACGTAAAAAAAAATATCCTAAAATAAACTTTGTTACGCTTTAAAATCGTTTCAAATCAAATGAAGATCGTATGACACACAAACTGAAATCGCGATAAAAATTCGATTGATTGCACAGCCTTAGTGTGACTGAAACAAAACACAACCGCAGGTATGTTTTTGATGAATTATAACATGGTTTAAAGCTCACAAGAGTCAATTTTGTGTAATATAGGACCTTTAAAAATACAGTATTACCACATGACATCACAAGGTGGGACAGCATTTTCTATTGAAGAGAAGAATATGTAGGGTTTGTGTGTTAAACGTGTGTGAATGAAACAAAACACAACTCCGGAACTTCTTAAATCTTATCATATAGCCAAAAAATTACCAAAAATTTACTATGAATGCAAAGAAAATGTACACACGATAAATACTGACCCTAAAAAAATAGTAGTAGTAATAGTAGTTATAGCTTTCATATATGGAATGATAAGTCGATATAGCAATTATCGTGACAGACAAGTATTCAGAGCAAAGAACGTGCCAAATGATTGTGCAATTGTTTCACATTGGCAAACAGGAGGTCAGCCAAAAAGAAAAAAAACAGATGCTCTCTTGTAATCCAGATAATGGCGTAAATAATACTTTGTACTTGGCCTGAATGCTCCAATCTGTCAATAAGGGAGAGTGGTATTGACAAAAATTCATCTCTCTTTCTCCTCAGATAGCTATAATAATTCGGCAATCCATCCATGTTTTTGTTTTGGTTTGGTTGTTCAAGGCCGAGCTCAAAGTTTAAAAGGTCCAATATTACACAAAATTGACCCTTGTGAGATTTAAGACATGTTAGAAAGTTGTTACCTCCTCAAAAACAAACCTGGAGTTGTGTTTTGTTGCATTCACACATTGGAGTAACCCTTTATTATAAGTCTGTACATCTGCAAAGCTCAAAATGCACCTTGTGATGTCATGAAGCGGTAGTTTTAAAGTTAACCTTCACCTTTTGTTGCTTTACAAAATAAGATATTAAAGTCACAATATGAAAAAAATCTAAATATATTATCATAAAATTAACATTAAAAGAGAAGAGTAGAGATTGACAATTCCAAGTCTGAAATTAACTGGATTCTAGTCAAGACTCATGGAGTTTAAAAACACACTGGAGCACTTCCTGTATTACCACATGACATCACAAGGAGGTTTTCCAGTTTAGATAAGAACTCAGCCTAAAATATGCAGGGTTTGTGTGTTAAACTTGTGAATGAAACAAAACACAACTCCAAGTCTGTTTTTGATGAGGAAACAACATTTTAATATAGATCAGAAAATACTGTTATATGGGCACTTTAAGTATTGTAAAATTGCAAAATGCAGAAATGTGATATATACTGAAACTGCACAATATGTTAAAATCAAATCGAAATTGTAATCTGAGTCACCGCAATTGTCAAATCGCAAAAATATCTGCAGTTACTTAGAGAATTGAATGTCATATGTCCTGTATTTTTATAAAAGAATCTTGTTGTCCCTGTAGTTTAGACTAGGGCTGGGTATCATTAAGAAGTTGCCGATACGATACATATCATGATACATAGGCCACGATGCGCTACATATCTCAATACAGTGCAGTTTTAATTCGATACAATATATTTTTAATCGATTCGATACCGTTTGATAAAAAAAATAAAGGCTAAATCATGGCTGTGAAACTATAAGTCTTTGTTAAACCACTTCTTTTAATCCTCGAAACAGTGAAAATGTCAAAATGTGTCGCATAAACAAGTTTAATTCCTCTAAATAAGCAACAAAACTGTAGCTGTAACAAAATAATTTAGTAAAATATGCCAAAAAATATTCTTGGCGATATACTGATACAGCAGCCCACGATACTGATACTGTATCATCACATTAAACGATATGATATGTTGACATTTTTGCACACCCCTATTTTAGAGCTCTGCAAACATGTTCTGAAATGTATAGGATTCTAGTGTAGGTTTACCAGCTTCCATTTCAGTCTTCTCTCAAATGTTAATGCCACTGGAATTATTTACAACATGGAGAATCCTACTTTTGCAACACAAAACTCATCACAGATTTAGCAAAGGTCTTCAGAAATACAGTAACTTAAGAAGGGGTGTGTTAAAATATTGAAATATTGATATATCGTATTGTTTAATTTGATGATACAGTATCGATATTGTGGGCTGCTGTATTAATATATCGCCAAGAATATTTTTTTGGCATATTTTAATAAATTATTTAGTTACAGCTACAGTTTTGTTGCTTGTTTAGTGGAAGGAAACTCGTTTAATGCGACACATTTGACATTTTCACCGTTTTGATGATTAAAACGTTTGTGTTTCATATTAACTTTGCACATGAAATGGTTTAACAAAGAATTTTAGTATCACAGCCATGATTTCGCCTTTATTTTTGAATCGATTTAAAATATATCGTATCGAATCAAAAGTGCACTGTACAGGGACAACAAGATCCTTCTATAGAAATACAGCACACGGGACATTTAGTTCTCCAAGTAACTGCAATTTTTTTTTTTGACAATTTCAGCAACTGAAAATTACAATTTCGATTAGATTTGAGTATGTTTAGGCATATTTTACTAAATCAACTTTGTGTAAGAGCTACAATTGAGTTAATATTTTCTCTGTTTTGAGTAAAATGGGTGTTTTTCATATTATTATTTCATATTTTATTATCACTGTGGTATTGGAATTTGTACTGAGTATAGTCTATTCTTAGTCGTAGGAATGCAACAATAACAGAAATATTGTGATATCATATTGTCAAAAGTCTCACAATAATATCGTGGGCTGTCACAATATATCGAACATCAGAAACTACATATCCCATGATTCATTTCAGTGCAAACAACATGAAGAGATAAGTTTTTTACTTGAATTCTTGGGATTATGATGGAAATTATTCACACCAAAAATCTTGTCAAGATATTTTAAAAGTAAAAAGATTTCCCATCTACTTTTATATCAGCCCCTCGAAAATATCGCAATAAATATCGTACCGTGAGATGAAGAAAAAAATCATCTCGTAAGATTTTTTTTTCCATGTCTTTACATTTGGATCGGACAAAAAAAGGGTCACGTTTTGGCAAGTTACATCTCTTTCCCTTCCAAAAATGAGTAGGAAACAAAAATATGAAATCAAAAATCTGAAATCAAATATATTAAAAAATGTGAGGCCAAAATTGTAGGGACGTAACGATATCCAAATCTCTCGATACGATATTTATTGTGATATTTTGTGGAGGCAAACAAAACTTTTAAGGCATTTTAAAAGGAAAAAGTAGCATACTGACAAGACTTAACCCAAAGAACTAAGACTTAAAAGTGCTTAGAACTGTTATTTCTTCTTGTAGTCTACACTGAAATGGAGCAAAGGATCATGGTCTATGTAGTTCCCTCTTTTTTTTTTAGCTATAGTTGCACCATAACTATTAATTTAAGTGAAGAGATTTTTAATTTGATATATTGTGATGGTCCACGATATTATGGTGAGAATTCTGACGACACGATATCACGATATTCCGGTTATTGTTACATGTCTACAAAATTGGAGACTGAACTGAGGAATTTATATATTATCAGGAATTATTTTAAAAATCTTATAATGTCTTGTTCTTGTAGACCGAATCTCGTATCTCGCCTTTTGTGAAAACTGCGTCTCTACTATAGAAATCGAGTTTGAAATTTTACATTGTGACTTATACTAGCCCACAGACTTGCCGTTTCACCATTTTAATACATCATTGGTATTAGAAACAGCAGACACTGGGGGCATATGTAGCTAAAGTCTGCTTCGAGCGGAGAGATACACAGACTTCATCAGGGTCCTGGAACACGGCCAAGTTTGGGATTCCTCTGTAGTAAGAAGGCAACTCCCTCTAAGGCTACCAAATCATTGAGAAGAGTTCGGTTTGGCACAGTCCCATTCACTCCGTATCTTTTCAAACGGAACAACAGGCAGGATTTAATTAACTAGAAAACAATGATATGGTACAGAGGGCCCTTATGGGAATGCCGAGGCTCAGAGATAAGAAGTCTTGAATTCAACTCTTAATGACATATGGGGAGATAGATAAGACCGTTTTTCGCGCAGTTTCTATTGTGATTTCAACGGCAAGTTTAACTGAATGAGCAAAAATACAGTGTGTGCTTTCAAGAAGAGTAGTGGCATTGTGAGGGAGCTGGTTTATTAGTAAGGTTTATGAATGCACAATGTGAGGACAGAACTGATATTAGGCCTGTTACTCTAATTACTGTATCAACTTAGCGTTCAAAATATGAAAGCTGGTTTATATTTAGAGGCACAATGTACACATTTATCAT